CCTCGTTTTCATTTTTAGTTTGTTGGCTTATTTGTTTGGTTGTTGGGTGAAAGTAGATTGAGTCTAAGTCTGCGTCGCGCAGTCAGATAAAACCAGACCGGCCGGCACCTAATAAAATTTACAGGATAGTAATTCAAAATGGGCTTGTTGTATCAGGACTCCACGGACAGTGGGGATAAATTAAATGTTGCTATCGCTTATCACTTAACTAATTATGGGACATAAATGTCAATCTGCGAGTACAATTTAACAAATCCCTTTAAAAAATCGATATTAATTACACTTAATTTATACAGCGTTTATGGTAAATACACTTTAAGAAATATTTATTAAAATAATTAAATAAACGCACGTACAATCCTGACATTTAGCTAGATAAAATTCAATACGACCCTGCGCTTTTAATTAGATAAAATCCCGTACCACCGTGCTCTTTTAATTAGATAAAATCAAGTACCAATTGTTTATAATCCAAATTATAATACGAGATAGTTCAAACATAAATTTATTTCATGTCGATTACGGGCGTGGTTTATTGAAACGGAAGCCAACATGGCAGAATAGATCGATCTATGACGCCAAGTCAAATGATCGAATATTTAGCTCTATACAAGGTATTTCTGTAAACCAATTATACCAAAATGTTCTGGAATAATTTAGTTATTAAAATGTACAAACCTACAAATTTAAACACTTTTTCTTCACCCCTCTTTAACAGTTGTTTTCTACACATGTTTTTCGTTGCACCGGTTTCAATCGAATGATCCCCGCTCTTCCCTTCCCAGTTTTCCCACCTTGACTACCGGCATTCTTCCCCCCTTCCTTTTCCCACCTAAACAGGAGTGCCCGTCCACCGTCGTTTGGCACTCGGTACGTCAAATACATTTCTACTTATATACTAAATTTTAAATGTTACATAACTTTTTGAATACATTTATTTTAAACAACTAGGATCATAATAACCCACGGATTGTTTAGTAGGGGGGTATTTTCAGATCTCCTCGGGGTGATCTTGAGAAGTTTATAAGATATATAGAATACCTAATCTACGATGAACGCAAAGTAAGGTTTCTTGGACGTTTTTCTATTTCAATGGATTCACAGATGGTACGTTAGGTCCTGTGTTCGATGCTAGCCAAGACCCTTGTTTTTTCAAAGACAATTTCACAGACCAATATCACATACCGTATCAACGTTCGACGCAAAGAACATCGTAACGCAGTCTTGAAACAAGAAAAAACATCTTTCTTAGCTTAACACGTCCGAAAAACTTTTTTTTTTAACTTTCTTGTAAACAATGCAATTTTGACCCAGTAATTCATCCTGAATTAAAATTTTTCTTGATGCAGTGTATTACAAACAAATTCATATACAAACTAGGTATTTACTTAAATATTTTTTTTCAATAGTCTATTGTAGTCAACAATTTTTTCTATTAGTATTGTAGGTACATGTATTTATTTTTTTAAATAAATATTGCCGAAATATTTAATTGTAGGAATAAGTAATAACAAATGAAATTTTTTCAAAACGTTTGGGTGGATTATTGTTGTACTGGCACCTTCTTAGTATCCGTATGGATAAAAAAAATGTTCACGATGACATGAAAAATCCCAGGCCAAAATGTTCTTGGCAGTTTAAATATACATCTTACTTTGTAATACCTTTGGAGATTGGCAGTCTTTATAGAACGTCCAATTAAGTTTAAATATTAAACAAACGTTTTCGGGATTTTTGTTTTGACAATTGAAAAAGAACTTAACGACCGGCACATATTTCGTCGGTCACTCGGGGACATTGAAATGCGCTTTACCCTTGCAAATAACCCACATGCCACTCTCCCATGGGGTGTATATAAAAACACGTTTATTTTGTAGCCTACATGCAATTTTAATAGCCAGGGTCGCTGTAGCATTACGTCGGCAAACGATATTATTTGCTTTTTATGTTTACGGATTAATTATTAACAATTCTGCGTTGTAATCTGAATATAATTATCCAGGGGGTGATTTCTTACAATTCTTGTACACAGTAGTTATAAGATTTAGCCTCCAATATAAAGTTTAACTTTTTAAGTGGATCAGTCAAGATATTTACGGATTTATAGAATATCAAAGAAATTATAATTATATAATCTATATTTTATCTATCTAAGTAAGGTGAGACCTTAATATTTTTAAGCAGGAATTTTAAATATTGGAATATCTTTGAACTTAATAAGTTATTGTTAAAATAATAGTAAGTTGTCTTTAAATGCACTTAAATCCAGTTTGACAGGATTCAGGAGACCAAAATACTGAGCATTTTTAAATATTTATTTAAAAAAATTTAACAATCTAAAAAAATCAAAAAATGAAAAACTTTGAAAAGTAATTTCGACAAGAAAGTAATTTTAGATCTGAATAATGTTATGAGCCCAACTATAAACATATTAGATTAACAGTTTAAAAGTTAATATAAAAAATGGTTATAGGAAATACATTCTGCTCTACAACGCTGAAATGCAGTATTTTCAATATTAAGTAATAAATAATTTCTATTTTTCAACTTTTTTGTATTGTATTAAATTGTTTTTTGTGTCCTTAAATACTTAATATTAACGTTGTAAAGCAGCATTATCATCCATCTTTTAAAAAATTCTTATTAAAATAAAATTATATATTCCTTTTAGGGTTCCGGATATACAGTGGGTTTCATTTTGATTGGCGTCAATTTGGCATTTATTTAAAAATAGACAGATTTAAAAAAAATATATTTAGTTTGTAGTACTCGAAAAGCTCTGTCTTTTAAAGAAAAAAATTGTCATGAGTCATTTCCATGGCTCTCTATGATTAATAGAAGGTCTCCAAATACATCACAAGTTATTAGTCATTTTTAAAATTAAAAAACACATAGCGTTTTATAATTTGGAATGCCCAAAAACCCCTAAAACGATAATTTTGTAATACAATTTTAAACAGGATGGCCAAAAAGTAAGGTCAAATTTGGAAAAAAATCAATTTGTTTAAACACTTTGTATAAATTTTAGTAAAGAATTTGCAAAAACCTTTTTTCATTTATTTAGGTATTACACGAAATACACACTGGCTTAGTTTTGTTAGTCTAGCTTATTCAGAGTGTTTACAGATTAAGGCCAAAAGTTATAAAAAAATAATGGTATTTTAAATTGAAATATTAATTTAATTAGAGGCAAAAAATTGCAATTGATTTATTGACCTAAAATATTAGAGTATGACAATTGAATAATTATTATACTTGCATTATAATCTGCCAATTTAACACTTAAAAGCGTTAATAAAACCGTCTTTATAGCTCTAGCGCTATTAAGTCGTCTAGGGAACATCAACTAAATTAGGTATATGGCTCAATTGGCTTCATGAAGATTAAATGAAAATTGAATTGAATTAACAGCTGGGATTTTAACAGTTTTTTTTCATGAATAAAAAACAAAGTTATGCAGCAGAAAATTTTTAAATGCTTTCAAATGTCAAATTTAACAGTTCGCAATAGTACCTATGTACATTATAAACCAGGCAAAGAAAGCACATAATAACGCCAAGCATTAATTTCTCTGCCGAGGCAGTAGATTGTGTACACTTTTTTTTTAAGTTTTTGGTTAAATAATTTCTTAAGATTCTATCACATCATTTTTAGGTTAGGTTCAACTGGCATGATGACATTTTAGCTTTATTTCTGTACGGAGTTACGGGACTAGTATTAATATGACTTTCTTCTGTGCGAGTTCAGAAATTATTACTTAAAATTTTATTATATTTTTATTGAATTGAATTGCAATAATAGTATATTATGTATCAAGTTTGATAAACTCCATTTTAGTCACGAATTTAATTTAGGCACGAGCGAGCTTGCAAGTGAGTGCAATTAAATGAGTGTCTAGAAAAGTTAATAAACGAATTGGATACTATACTTTTTCTACAAAAAATACTTATTATTATCTTAATATTATTTAAATTAAATATTTTTATAGAGCGACCTCTATAAAAATAGAGTAACTCGCTTAACAATTTCTAACTTACCGGCGCTCCAATCAATTTTTATGTGTAAATCAAAATTTATCCCCTCAAAAATAACCGTTTAAATAATGATATAGAAGCAGTTTTTTACAGTGAAAGTAAAGAGAATGTTTCATGGTCACTTCACCCAAAATTTTAAATGCTTTATCAGTTAAACCTAGTTTACTGCCGGCAACAGTCTTATATAAAACCTTCCTATCGGCAAAATAAACGAAAAAATAAAAATGTTACATTTTATATTGATTTAAATATTACAAAAATTTCATCGCACATAAATTTAAGATGAGTGAATAATTTTATCATGTAAAATATCGTCTAAAAATGTTAAGTATAATAAAAAGATAAGGTTATTTTACGTAACAGAGTGTTTTTTCGTTGAGATATGAACTTTTTAAATGCTTGAACATTATAAATCATTTGGAGTGACGAAAGAATTTGTGTGCGGTTTTAGGGAGCAAACCGCCCTGCAAACAATAAACGCGTCGTGAGGTTTAAAATTTTATTTTTTTGCCGCACATACACACACACGCGCGCGGGCCATGATAAGGGAAAATTATGAAAGGGCGCAAAGGCCAAACATAAAAGGTAATATTCGTCTCCTTTACGACCCTAAAACTTTATTAAAAGCTTCCCAAAATGCATCAGATATACTTACTATATTATAAGCGCCATGGTTATGCTTCATAAAAAGATCTAGTTTTAGATTGTATTCATTTCCGGCTGCTAGCGGAACTCAATTGACAGAGCAGGTTAATTTAAGATGGAAATTCCATTTCCATTTTGAAATTATTACGCACACTATAAAGTGAACGCTTTTTATATGTTAATTTTGTTACCAAAATTACCTACTTGGAAGTAATTGGTTATACGATGGTTTCACGATCTATTTTGCCTTTCGTTTTAAATGTATGTATTTAATGAGATATTTTTGAAACCAGGGTAAATTAAATAAAATTACAATAAATTATTTATTTCTTTTTAAAATCACCCCTCATCATCATATAACAACCTGATATCAATATAAAAAACGTTAGTAAAGTATACTGGAAAGTTAGGACCCAGAAGGATAATAAATACGCTGTCCGGTTGCAGTATTTCCCTTGTTTTGGATCATAGTTTGGTTGATATTCTCTATAAACCCAATAGGTACCTAAAAGTATTTACATTATTATATAGGGTAATTCATTTCGTAAGCATATTTTATAATCAAAAATATGAAAAATGTCTTTTTTAAACGGTGTTACAATAAGAGTTTTTGTTTGCTACATACATATTATCTTGATGATGATTAATACGTATTTCAGAATTCGTGATTATTAAGGAAAACAAAATTGTCTCTAAAAAAGAACCTTTAACGATATGATATACAGTCAAGGAAAATAGTAATGCACAGAGGCATACCTTTAAATGTGAAATTGGAATATATAATAAATCTAAATTTAACTATTTTAAAACGTCTGAAATGACGTTAGAACTGTATAAAAGCGTTACAAAATGCCCTTAACAATCACTTTGCCATGTGCCGTTAACAAAGTGTATTATTAATATTATAATTATTAAAATGACTTAAACTGTAATAGTTCTGCAAAAATGGTCAATCACTTAGTGACTGTATGTGCTTCGCACCAGGCACCGACTGACAGCCTGTTTCTGACTTTTGGGGTCATCAGTGCCGGGTATTCCTGTGGCGCAAAGCATATTTAAACAAAACAACTTTGCCGCTCTTATAAATAAAATAAAGCAAAGATACAGGGACAGCGTTGGCAACATAGTGAACGAGAATTCTCAGCGACATCTACCGTCCGTTAACTGGCCGCCTAGTTCATGCAACTTGAGGATGTTTCAGTTTAAGAATTTAGCATGAAAAACTTAACTCATAATTCAAGAGATAACATCAGAAATGTGCCCATTCTAATCATTAAATTTACTGCCTTAAAAATGTACGTTTTTCTTGTTAAGCTATTAAGCTATATTTATAAATATTTAAGCGCTTTTTGGTTAGATTTAACGTATGTATGTGTTAATAAACTTAATATTTTAAATGAAATATGTCCACCACTTATATACAATTCTTTATGTAAATCTTTTAAGGGTCAATTTTACGAGGTAGCTTACTTAATTTTGTTAGTTTTATTAAATATTTTAATGATTTACCTCATAAACTAATAATCGTTTCATTTGTTTTAGGTAAAATTTCATATACATCACCTGGAAACTCATACAAATGTAAGCAAAGCGCATTACAATAATTAAAAAAACCTGTTATGGAAATGGTCCAAGAATGATGAATTCGTCTTACTATAATCTACATATAGACAAGGAACTTAAAATTTAAAAGTATCCAAAGCTCATGCCCTTGACCAATTTCCCCAATTTGTTTTAATTTTTAACACTTTTTGTTATTAAGCTTAATTTTCATGTATCCGTTTGTCCGTCATCCGTTTGTCCGTTATTCAATAAAATCGTCCAATAATGTTCTAATTTTCATGCATCCGTTTTTTAATGACGTTTAACGGATTGATTTGACGACAAATAGAAATTAAGTGTCAGTATATTTACTTTACTAAATTTACCTTACAGTTAGCTGTCTAATAAATTTAAAGGTAGGTAAATATACCATATAAAAAGAATATTCTAGCCTTAATGTATAGTTAAAAAAAACAGTATATTTACTTTACTAAATTTACCTAACAGTTAGCTGTCTAATAAATTTAAAGGTAGGTAAATATACCATATAAAAAGAATATTCTAGCCTTAATGTATAGTTTAAAAAAACAGGTCCTTTTAGTTCTAGCTTGAATTTTTTTAATGTCTTAAATAAAAAATAACCGCAGAACATTATTCACCTAACGAACGTAATATTTCCGTTCTACCATCTTATTGAAAAAATATAAAGATTTAAAAAAAAAATATCTTAAAATAACGTCAAAAACAGATGTGTAGTGACGGATGAGTTAAAATTATTTAACCTTTCTCTGTCAGACGTACGAAGTTGAAACTTGACGGCCGATAAAATGTCATAATTATAATTGGACCAATAAGAGCGCTTCCGGATGAACGGACTAACGGACAAACGGATACATGAAAATTAAGCTTTAGGCCTCCAAAAAGTGTTCTCATTTGTTATCTATCAAAAATTTGGATATGTTTAAAGAACATTTCTTGGTTATGTTGGTTTTCCTTATTTTGTGTACTCTACCTGTCAATTTGACAGTGCCAAACTCCAAACAAAACTAACTTTGTATATAATATACAGGGTGTCCCAAAATTGGCTTCCCAAAGGGTAAATGCGAATTATCGAGTTATTTAATTTTTAAGGCCGCCAATGAGAGTGCAGTGTGTCTGCTCTATCGGACAAGTCCCTCCTTTAGTCTGCCGATTACTCGCACAAAATTTGTTTTTATTTATTTTTCCCAATTACTGAATCGGAGTCTTTTGTAAACACAACAAAAACTCGTTTCGTAGAGCAGAAACAATGCGCTCTTGTTGGCGGCTTAAAATTTTAAATAACTCATAACTGCAATCTTTCAAATTTATTGAAATGGTAAAGAAAGAATTTACACCATGAAGGTATATAAAGTTTTGTTTAAAGCGATACCATTTTCTGCAAAAATAAAACCTGGATCCTCCACTGAAATTGACAGTTAAAACAATGAGAATAGTACATTATAGACCAGGCGGAGAAAGCACATATTATCGCCGAGCAGATTGTGTGCGAGGCAATTAACAGGCTTTCGCCGCCGTGTTTTATATACTATTTTTTTCAAGCATTTAATTTCCTAAGATTCTGTCATATCATTTTTGTTGAATTCAACTGACATAATGCAATTTTAGCTTTATATCTGTACGAATTTTAATAATAATTTGACTTTTGAACTAGTACTAATATGAAGTCTTTCTATATGGACATGAGTCTAATAATATAAAAATTATTGTACGCTTAATTTATAATCATATAAAGTTAATGTAATATTTTAATTAAATTCGTAAATTTAAAATTAATATTTTTATACCTAAAAGATGCCATACGACATCGAATATAACCAAGGCAACAGTCAAGTTAAACAAATGTTTATTTTTTATCTTGCTTAGGAATTTGGCCAGGGCTCCAACGCTACCTAAAATAAAATGTTTTGTTTTGATCAAACTTAATTTAAGTCTTATTATTAAAATACCCACCTGCCACTATTAAATATATTGGAATGAGTCTGTTTATTGAACAACTGTTTAAAGTAATCCAACCAGTGGCAAACATTACAAAAAACAGCAGGTAGAGCATTATAAGGGATCCATTGAGACCAGCTAAAATAAAAACAAAATTTATTTATTTTTACTTATTTGTATTAAAATTGTTGGAATCTAATAAAATCAGTTCCCTCATCCTTTAACAGAATTGATTAAAATAATTAGCTTGGGAGTTTAACTTATTTAATATTTAATCACTTACGCGGTGGTTTTTCTTTAGCCTTTTCCAACGGTTCATTTTCCTCAATGCTCAGCTGTTTTTCCAAGGCGGCGCGGGGGGGCTCGCCTCCCTGCTTCTCGACGTCGATGTCTTTTGTTTTGGTTTTCTTCTCCCCATCATCCATATATGCGTTTTGTTTATTTAGTTTTTTTTTCCTTTAATTACGCGACTTTCATATTTGCGAACAGCCAACTGACTATTTATAATTTTTCGTTTTTCAAGCGTCAAGTCGCTTGTCCCACTATTTATGTTTATTTTTAGTTTGCAAAGTTGGCAGACATTATTCTTTTTCGAAAATAATGGACTTTCAATTTTTATTGAACAGCGTCCAAACCAAATATTTTGATTTAATAATTGAAGTTATTGCTAATATAAACTGATCAAGTTTACTAGTACATGGTGTTGGACAAAGTGTGCACACACATGTATACTTTTTAGGATAAATGAAATGTCCTTTATATTCTTTCTATATAGGATTCAGGATAGTTTATTATCTATTAAATCATAAAATCAATATTTAAATAGTTTTTTGTCAATAGGCTAAGAAGTGTGTCTTTTTGTGCCTAGCTCAAAGTATGAGCGAAGCACAAAAAGAAATTCTCATGCGCCATTTATTGGTTTGTTTTAAAAACGCTGAAAAACATGAGTCCACACAGAGAAAAGTAATCTCTTGATTTAAGAAAATGCATTTATTTGAAACAGGTTTTCTTGTATGAAGTAAACTTTTCTTATTCGTATTAACTTAATGTTTACATAAGTTTCTTGAAAACAACTTATTGTTGTGATTAATTAAATAAAGAAATATTTATTTACAGCAATTAATTAAATTGTTTGGATGTAGGTTTTGTTTCTTTAAGTAAGCTTATACTTAACCTGAGATAAAAAGTCAACTAGATATTTACTTGTATTAACCAAATATCAATTTAAAAAGTCAAATAAACCCAAGTTTTCCACTAAATAAATATCTTCTTCTAGATATCGAAATAAATAATTTATTTGAGCCAAGCCAAATATAGTAAAATCAAGAGATTACTTTTCTCTGCGCAGTTTTGAAGCACTTTTTCGATGACCGCCAATAACATCCCAAATTGGGATTCCCAATGTTATGTTTTAAAGTTGAAATTGTTTCTGGATTATCACATCGGTATTTAACCGCCCCTTAGAAAAAAATGCAAGGGCGTCAAATCACAGCTCCAAAACGGTTGTCAAATTTGGCGAGCAAGAGATCGATTGTCAGTCAAGCCGTATGGCATGTGACGCCATCTTGTTGAAATCAAAGATCGTCTACATTTATAGCGTCAATTTAAGGCCATAAAAAGTTGGTCAACTTTTACCAATTGGTTTATTGAATAATATAAAAACAAACCAATAGATGGCCCAACCTTTACAACATTCTATCTTATTATTTGTTAAGCGATACATAAAACGTATATTTATAATAATAATTATAAAATGTAGAAAGTGAGGTTAGGCAGATCTGATAGTAGTCGAATTCTTTTATTAGTCCGATACGGTTTTTTACTCTTTACCGATTGGTCTTTTTTTTTTGCCTAGGCGTAATTAATCACAATAGTGAGTGTGTGACAATTTGAATTACCGAGCGCTTGAAGAAAAAAGAACTTTTTAAATAATGATACTATTTGATAAACGATAATGATACAACTTTAATTCTACATATTTATTTGGGATACTTTTACAACCTTATTCTATCTTTGTTATTGAAATGCAAATAAATTATATAAGTACAAGAAACTATAGTAACTATTATAATTAAAGCATAACAAAAACAAATATAAGTGAATGCCAAATTGTAAACAAAATTTATACAATATATTTCATGTTTAAAATCAAAGCTTGGTTTAAATATTTTAAACACCCAGTAGGAGCCTAAAATTAAACAATAATCTTACATTTTTATTTGGGATATGTAAAAAAAAAATTCCATAAGTTTATTTTAAAAATTCATAGTTATTTTTAAAGTAGGTATACAATTTATTTGGTGCCACTTAAGTTAGATTATAATCTAAACTAAAAATGTCCCCTTCTGCCCCTTTTCCCAGTATTTTTTTCTGAAATTTAGCATTGGCAAGTTTACGTTTAAATGTAAACATTGTCATCAATGGTATTTCAAAAATATTATGTCCCTTCGCTTCCGTCTCTTTGTAGCCCTACAAACAAGTGCTTGTACTTGCTTGTCCATTGTTTTAAAGGATCAGAATTTTGCTAAGAAAAGAAGCTGGGTTTATTATTAAAACTTTTGTTGCTTTTAAATAGTAAATTTATGCGGTCTATAAAAGTTTTTTTTATATACCACTGAAAAAATATAATTTTTAGTATTTTTTGGTCTAAAATTTTTTGTATAAAATAAGGGACAGACGGGACAAAAATTTATGGGTAAAAATAATCATTAAAAGATTCTGCAAGCACCTGAGACAACAAAAAAGTTCTGCCCAAAAGGGCTGGAATTTAAAAGTAATAAAAATAGGTAAATAAATGCGGACAAAATATTTATTCGGTATTTCGTTTTCGAATGAGCCAAACAAGAAGGAAACAGCATCCAAAGGATATGGAAAAAATTATTGCTGCATACATTATTGTTACTAAAGCTACTGCAGAATAGTATACATATTTGGCACAATATTCCCTTCCATCTTCTTCATGATAACTTGGTTCAAATATTTGCCAGATAATTATTGATCCTATAAAAAATCAAGAAATTAATATACATATTAATTTTTAAAGTGATTTAGGAGAAGTTTGTAATAATTAAGGAGGTGATAGAACTGGTCAAAAGTGGCTCACATTTAAGGTTTATGAAGGTTTATGATCATCAGACTCCCAGGAATAAGAACAAAAAACAGACTTGTTGTTAGTGTCAAAATGAATTGATCAAATTCATTACTTTAAGTTATTATTTTTACGTCAGACTGGTCTGAAGGAAATACTGGAAGTCTGACTAATAAAACCAAAACCAACCAAACCTTCTTTATCTCTGCCATAGATTAAATTAGATTGGATTTTATAGACTACTATGACAAAAACTAAACAGAGTATTATGCGACTAGTGGAAGAAAGAGGAGATTCCTCAAGCATTAAGTAACACACTAGTAGAATCTCCTCTTTTGACTTATAATCGTACACAGTAATTTATTTAACTCCCCCATAGTGAGCAAAGTAGAATTTCGCCTACAGGTTGAAGTTAAGAAATAAAATGGTTGTTGAATAATAATATATTCAACGATTGAGAAATTGTTAATGTTAATTTCCACTCACTAGTGGAATACCAGTCAATAAGTTACAGAAATGCTATGAAAGAATCTTATTTCAAATTTTAACTTCCATTTTGTAATGTCAACGGATAACAATTAATTAACAAATAAATTGTTGTGATAATCAATTGTTGCCACATGTTGCCAAACGTATACGCATTGGTAAAGTAAATCTGCCAAAATGCGTTTTCTCATTAAATAAAACAATCATTGTTTAAACATCTACATTTTTTTTAATACCTAGTAAATGTAGAATTTTCTAGGGTTTCTGGGGGTCTGTAGATCAATGTGATACGCGACTTTTAAGACATTTTTTAAGTACATAATATATATATATATATATATATATATATATATATTTTTTTTTTCTCATCTCTTGTAAAAATATGTTAGTTTATCATAATGTAAGAGCCCTGTCAAAATATCAGCTCGATTAAACATTTTTTAGGGGTCGCTCAGGATTTTTTAAAATTTTCAAAATCGTAAAAATTGAATTTTTGTTTTATTTTAATTTTTTTTCTCGTCTCGATATTATTTTTTTGGTTGAAAATAATAAAAATTCTGTAAATTTCAAATCAATATTTTGATTTCTAAAGGTCGCTAAAAGTTCGTTGATTTTTATATTCAGAGGTCGCTCGAAAACATTCAAAATACTAAAAAAATCTTGAGCGACCTTTAGAAATCAAAATATCGATTTGAAATTTTTAGAATCATAAGTATTTTTAAATTAAAAAATAATATCGGAACGTGAAAAAAAATTAAAACAAAAAAAATCCAATTTTTGACGATTTTGGAAATTTTTAAAATTCATGAGCGACCCCTAAAATTTTTTTAATGGAGCTGATCTTTTGACAGGGCTCTTTAAACATGACAAACCAACATAATTTCACAAGAGACGAGAGAAAAAAATATTCTTTTATACAGGGTGTTTCATAATATATGCGCAGGACTTCAGGATGTGATAGCTCATCCAAAAAGATGAAAAAAGTCGCTATTAACTTACCCTCTAAAATGCACAATTTTCGAGATACAGGGTGTTGAAATTTTAGAAAAAAAATCGTTTTTTTCGAATATCTCGGGAACCGTTTATCGTACAAAAAACAGCTTTTGTAAGCATTTTCTACTCAAAATAAGCTATGTTTTGTGCCAGAAAAAAATTTTTTTTTACCCATAATTGGTGGAGATTTTGAAGGGGTAGCGGGTGTTTTTCTCCTCAACTTCTACGCCCCTGAAAAATGTACGGTTTTGAGAGGCCTATTCGAACCGCCAATGTTTTCTACACAAAAAAGGTACTCCTGGTCATAAGCTCTAAAGTTGACCGTTTTCAAAAAAAATCAACTTTTATGTTTAAAAACATGGTCAATTTAAAAAAAAAATATTTTTTTTTACTAATTAAACAAAATTTATTTTAACGTAAGAACAAGTAACAAAACCAAACCATAATTGCAAAATAAAAAATGATTCAAAAGTTGTCTTTGCTAAATTCTCCAAACCGTAAAGGTAACGCATTTCGAACATTTCAGCATTTGTGTAAAAAATCATTTTTTATTTTTTTTTCTAATTTTGCAATTATCGTTTGGTTTTGTTACTTTTTCTAACGTTCAAATAAAATTTGTTTAATTAGTAATACAAATTTTTTTTCAAAAAATTGAACATGTTTTTAAATATAAAAGTTGATTTTTCTCGAAGACGGTCAACTTTAGAGCTTATGACCAAGAGTACCTTTTTTGTGTAGAAAACATTGGCAGTTCGAATAGGCCTCTCAAAACCGTACATTTTTCAGGGGCGTAGACGTTGAGGAGAAAAACACCCGCTACCCCTTAAAAATCTCCACCAATTATGAGTAAAAAAAATTTTTTTCTGGCACAAAACATAGCTTATTTTGAGTAGAAAATGCTTACAAAAGCTGTTTTTTGTACGATAAACGGTTCCGGAGATAATCGAAAAAAACGATTTTTTTTCTAAAATTTCAACACCCTGTATCTCGAAAATTGTGCATTTTAGAGGGTAAGTTAATAGCGACTTTTTTCATCTTTTTGGATGAGCTATCACATCCTGAAGTCCTGCGCATATATTATGAAACACCCTGTATATATATATATGTATAGAGAGAGGAGTAAAGGTGATATTACAAATTTCCCCTAAATTATTTGAATTGAAAGCAATCGATATAACGTAAATATTTAAGTAAACTTGATTTTTTATAAGAATTTTTGTTAGGGCGTTAAAATAAAGTTTTTAAAACTTTCGTAAAGAATAAACGCGAAAAAATTTTGGAAGAGGTTCTGGGTCAAAAGCCGGATTTCAAGATTAAATGCGATTTCTTTTTGAGATGTTGGTCCGCTAACGTCTTCTAAAATTTCTTTACATAAAACTTAAACTACCAACTCTCTAAAAATGAATTAGTCAAAAATGACTAATTACTGCAGTTATTAGTGGCTGCTTAAGTAAACAATACCATGGGATGGCATGGTACCCCCGATATAATAGACAATTCTTATGTAAAATTGTCCCCTGCATCCGAAAATACTATCAAAATTTAAAAAAGGAGAGCAGTTTTTGAGATATAGTCAATTCCATATTATATGGAATATTTACTATATCTCAAAAACTGGTTTACTTTTATAACTTTTGACGACATTTTCGGATTACACGGACAATTTTACATAATTGGCTATTATATCGTGGATACCATGCTATCCCATGGTATACCATGGTATAAGTGAAAAAGCAGCCACTAATAACTGTAGTAATTAGTCATTTTTAATGAATTCATTTTTACAGAGAAGAAGAGTAAGTCCTTTAAACTAAAGTAAAATTTTAAGGTTAGCTATCTCACCTAAGATAAAAAAAACAAAATCAGCTATATACAGTAATGAGGTTATTACTGTTAAAACCACCATCCATCGACTATATTCCTGAATAAAGGTTTTAACTATTTCTAATACAATTGCAATAACGACTGCAACACCTGAAAATAAAAAAATATATATAGATACATTTATATTTTAATACTTTAAATATATATTTACCAGATACTATTAAAAAAAGAGGAATATAAGGACCTGCAGGGCACTTATGAAACCCTACACTTCCAACGACAGTAAGAAATAGGTAAAAAAGTAAAAATATAATAAAACACAGCATTGCTAATAAAAAATAAAAAAAAATAATAATTTAGATCCATTTTAAGTAATCATTCTGGTTTACCTAATTGTCTTGGACCTACTTCCGGCATTTTTTTATTTATATTGGGTACAAATGTAGTATTAAATGTTATTTGGGATAATCTTTTGACAGATTTTTTCTTAAAATTTTTAAGGTTAGATTTGGTCCATATTATTAAATATAAATTTAATTCTTTTGACGTTTTTTCTGACAAGACTAGCGTAAATAAAGGGTTATAACTATCGTGCTAACCCTTTTAAAATTTGTCACTAAACTTAACTTAATTAAACAAATATTGTTATTTGATTAATTTATTTGTTAAAAATATATAAAAAACTTTAGTGCACTTTGGGAATTTAAAAAAAGTAATAAGTAGATTTAGGTTTAGTTAATTATTTTTTTTGAATTCCATAATAAAATTATAATACCATAATTAGACTTAATGAGTATTGTTCATATGCCTTTGCGCTTCCGGGTCTTCTTCTGGACGACTGGACAGGAACTTCGCCGAAAGCAAAAAACACAGGAAACCAGCCAATGTGGCCAACATAATAGCCAAAGCAACCGCTATGTAAATAAATGAGAGGAGATAAACGGATTTTTTGCAATAGTGGCTTCCACCTGGGTTGTAGTTAGGCTGGAACTCTTTTAAAACCCAATAGCAACCTAAAAATATACATTATTAAGGTTTAAATTTAAAAAAACTTTAATCGGTTCTACAAAATTTAACCATCCTAGAGCTAAATATAGAAATAAAGATTTTGATGTGCTGAATTCGATTATTGCTCAGGTTTTGAGAAATTCTAACTCTAGTTTCTGTTTATAAATTTTGTAGACCTGTATTATTATTCACGTCTCACCCAAAGAAAAAATAACAAGTTCCACGATATAAAGGGCGGATTCCAGATATTTAACAGGGAAGTAGTTTTCTAATTTATCCCTCACGACTGTAGTTAGTTTAGAAATAAGTCCAACAATACCTAAAATTTAAATTTAATAATATGGAATGTCAAAAATGTTTGGTACCTTACCTGTTATTATTAAAAATAAAGGGATATATTTATTTACTGGACAATCATTTTTTCCCAAAATACCAACTATTAGCATTGCTAGATATATTACTAGGGATAGTATTAGACCAAGGCGTAATCCAGCTTAAAAATAATATAGATTTGACAACACTGTATGTAAAACTCAGATAAAAACAAATGATAATACGTTACTAACAATAATTGTTGAGGCATAAAAACAACAATTATAGTGTTAAAAACTTACGTAAACATTTGTTACTGACTCTGCTGAATGCATTTTGATTTCCACTGATATTTTCGCTATTTGCCTGCATTTTTATATATTAAAACTATGTTTATTCCATTAAAAAACAACTAAAGAAAGGATATTGTGCATGTGTCCTAACCTACAAACTGACTAACGCACTGCTTGAATGTATAGTAGGTACATTAAATGTACCATACATTCAAGTCGCTGTAGTTCAGTAAAGGTGGGGAATAACCTCATGTTTATTTTAAAACCTGATTTGTTGTTTGCCTATACAAGCATCGCTTAAAATATATATTTATATCGCTGCGCTGTTGCCGTACCAATCCTTTTTTCATAGGTGTAGGTACGAATTTAAAAAACATTAATTATAAAGTAATGTATTAATATTATTAATATGTATCTTTATTTAGTGCATTTGTATTCCTTCTTCAGGTTTAGATCTGGTTTGAATCCATATTACAAAAATGTAAATAAATAGGGACATAATAAATACAACGTAGAACACTATTATAAAAATATAAGAAAACATATAAGTTAATGGGTTACAATAATATTGACTTTTTAAATCTTCGCTAGGGTTCTTACTATATACTAAAAATGAACCTAAAAAGAAAAAAAATTATAAAATTTCCAATTTAATTTACACAAAAAACCTTACCAAATATTACAAAAATTAATTCACCTACAATAAGTGTCACAACTGCAGGCTTAATATTAAAGCCAAGAACGGGTTTTAACAAACACAATACTTTGGACGTTGTCCCCAAAATACCTAAAGATTTTATTATTGTACTGTATTTATAACAAAATAATAAGTTCTTACCCTGAAATACTAAATAAACCGGTATATTTATATCCAGTGGACAATTATGTACATTGCAAATACCCAAAACTATCATCAACATATAACATAAAGTTGCACAAATTAATAATAAGTACCAGCTAACAAATTTGTTCCACTTTTTAAACTTTTGCCAAGAAGTTTCGATTTCGATAGACATTTTTTTTTGTGAATAAAACTATTTTTTTATTTTAAATTTCCTAACAAAATTAAGTGTTCTGTTTACTTGAGGTTAACTTTAGTGTGAAAAACTACCTTACCAACAAACGGAAATCTTATCAATTTATAGCGTATTTATAAAACCGGAACTGGTGGATATAAAAATAATATCTTTTGGATAATACATGTGAATAAATAAATGTTGGGTTTCCCAGTTCTAAACAAATCTGCCGTAATTATGAAAAATGCGGGTATCTACATATTTTATGAAAATTTAGTTTTATATATCTTTGTATTCATTTCAAAAAGACGCGTCGCGACGCTTTTAACCACGCATATATTTGGGTAATAAATAATAATTAAAAAAACTAAAAACGCGCTTTAACGCACTAAAAAGTTTAAAAGGAGATTGTAAAAAAAGGAGTTCTTAAATTTTGGACATTTTAAAAACTTTGAAATTTACAAAAACTCGTTCATTTTAAAAAATTTGTAAATTATCAAATTTTTGTTGTTTTCTAATTAAACCTCCTAATTTTTAACGCGCAGGTAAACATTATTTATTATTTTTTATTAAAATTAGAATGACAAACCTTTTTATTTGCCGCCATATTGGATTTAGTATGACGTCACTTACCTTATCGCTTTCATAGATAAAAAAGGTGTATTTATAATCGCTTTCCACTTGTCAAACCCTTTCATTTGACAACCATGTCAAGGAGGTTGTGCATCAATAGGTAATACGCATCTTGGGGTGGATTTAATATGACCTCACTTACCTATAGTTTTTTTCTCATCAAACCCTTTTCATTTATATTCATGTCAAGGGGGTTGTAAAGAAATAAAAAATCCGCTAACTTGGAGCAGCTGTCATTTTAAAAAAATTACAATATTAAGTATACTACATTTTATTGTCACAAGGATTAAAAATATGTTTAAAATTTTAGCTTAATCCGGTAGAGTAAAATATACTTTCTAGATTTATATAAAACGTTAAAAAAAGTAATAATTAATAATAATTTATAAATATTAATGATGCTGATATTGAAGTTTTCATTTTAATAAATGCAACAATTTTTATGATGTAAAAATTGGGTGTCTACAAAATTTAATGCATGGTAGACGTTTTTCAGTATTTTAGGGTAAGTTGAGGTCGAAGTACTGGGTAAAACCATGTAAGTTTTTTTTAAATAAGGATGTTTTAAGGACTTCTATCCTTTTTAAGATGGTATGGACAAACCCACATTCTTCATCTGGAACAAAATCTATTTTAATGAAACATGATACCGCTGTCCTGGTAAGTGGGTATATAAAATAAAATAATGTAGATCCCACGTTATTAACTGCGTATACAATTATTGTATGAAGAAAAAAACATTGTTAAATTTTGCCTCCACATATGTCATTTTTGTATGTGAAATTCGTACAAAATTTAAACCCTCTTGGTTTTCATTTACTGGTCGTCCAAAAGGTAAGTATTTCATAGATCGATAACTTCACTTCTTTTAGTTTTTGCTTGTATCTATTATTTTAATTGACTGAGTAACCATGCAAAAGTTGTTTTTTTGTAGTAACCAAAAGTTGTTTTTGATGTAGTATTTATGCTATAAAATTTTGTCTTTCTAAAATAATATTTAAAGGTGTAATGTAAAATTTCTGTAAATTATGAAAAATATCATAAATTCATAGTGAGTAATTTTGTATACATGCAAGATAATTTTTTTTGCAGGTATACAAAATAACTATGAATTTATGATATTTTTCATAATTTACACAAATTTTACATTATTTACATTACATTACATTTATTATCAGGAAAAATACTAAATCGTATGTTAGGTAATAAAAGAAAAATATATTTGATACGTGGTTTATATATTTGTTCATTTGTGTTAATGCTTTACTAATTAAGTATTTGTGTATACGTATCAAAAGTCGAGAAATGGCTTCTCGGACACTGTCCGACAGACAGGCATTTCCATGTTTTTCTACAGCACGACTTCATCTTGGATTAGAAGAGGAAAAGGCTTGGCCAGTGAGTGACAAACATACTTATCAAGCACTTTTTAATATTTAGCAGCGTGCCAGGGTACCTAGGCAGCGAATTGATTCATGTTTTAGAAAACTATCAAAACTATATTAACACAATTTAGCTCTCAACGAGCACCATACTCATCAAAGCGAAAATAATACTATGAATGATAATATGTTCAGAAATGATCTAGAAGATCTGTTTGATGTTTCTGCTAAAGACCCTCTGACTAAAATAAAGATTGTTTACGGCAAAGTTTTTCTTTAAAAACAAAAAGATTTTTTAATTACCATGAGTAGTGCTTCCCTTAAAACTTTAGCAAAAATGGAGGTAAGAATTCTTTGTTCAAAAATAAATATGAAGAAAAGACAACCATCTGGATAACAATATTCAGCTCCAAGGTATTATGAAGTTAACCATAAAGAAGATCGGTGAAGAAACACTGCTTCTAGGAAGCATCATTGGTTTCTTTCAGAGAAATTATTAGATTTGGAATTTTTGACGACATAGAATGAACCTTAGATGAATTCCTGAAAAAAACATACAACCATAGAATTGGATGTGATTTAGTTTTCTAAGAATTTCGTGAAAATTGTTGTAAGATGAAAGTTGTTAATGATACTGCCGAACGACGAATCAGTTTTATTTAAAAATACAACCAGTTACTTACCAAGGACGAATAAAAAATGCAGTATATTCTTTGCTTAGTCGCAACTTATTGGAAACAGTTTCCTGAGCCATCAAACTATTCCCTTATGTCGCAGTTTTTGATTTTAGAGTTTCATGTTATCCGATAAAAAAAATTGTGTTCGCTACTCATTTAGATGTCGGGGAATAAAAAAACACGTGGAGACAAAATAACTTTTATTTTGGACCACCCTACTATACATTTACGTTTTTGAACGTGTTAGGGCATCTACAGTTTCGCGTGTAAAAAAAAATCTCTGGTTGGTGAAACAGGTTCGATTTACGTTCCTAGTTTTTAAATAATATCATTTACTAATTTTAAATATTACAAGGATAGTTTATTTTATTTATTTATTATACAAAGATTAAGCTTTTGTTTACAAACTAGTATCTGTATTAACTTACATTTTAAGTAATCTAAAACGGCATATTTTTAATTATTCTGTATTTATAAATGTGATTTTTTCTAATTAAACTTAAAATAATATTTATTATATTCAAGAAAAATGTAAAATACAAATTTGCACTAAAGTAAGCACTATCAGTAAATATTCCACTACCATATAAAGGACAAACATATTATAAAAAGCTTGTTCGCAATAATTACGGTGTTCGGTATTTTGGTGGTTTTCCACAACTATTAAAATTCCACTTCCTAAAACAAAATCTTTATATACTTGACTATATTTGGTCTATTGATTATTTTACCTATTAGGAAAAGAATCATTATAACGAAAGCCAATATATTTTGGAACAATGTAATCGTCCTCACTGACAAACATATTATTATGTATATGGTCCCAAGAACACCTAAAAAGAAAGCAGAAAATTTAATGAATTCAACATTTTCCAAATACAACCTGTCGATATTAGGTAAATCGGTATCAGGTGATATGCAAGGGGGCATTTTTTGAAATATAATACTCCTCCTATCGTTATAATAAGCGAAATTAATAAGCTTGGTATCAAGGTTAGATTGCATACATTTTCTAGAATAAAACGTATTTGTTTGCATATCATTACCGTTTTGAAATTAAAGAACAAAGCTTTTAAAATTAAATTAAAGTACTTACGTCTTCGTGTGTTGTCTTTACTGTAAAATTTTCGCCTGTGTTTTTGACCTCTGAGAGCTTTTAACTTTGTTACAAATCCCCTTCTTGCAACGGGCTGATTATCGATAGTATCGAATGAACTGCTACTACTTAAATTGCTTCTCATAAAGAAGAATCATATCAGTTCGAAGGATCTTGTTCGCAAAAGAAAACTGTCACCCTATAATGACATCCTGGACATACAAGTCAAAAACCATTCCAAATTATCCTTTTTATTACCAATGGTTTAATTTTAAAAAACCTTTAGTTTATGCTGAACTATTTACATTCCCTGTGCTATATGGTGTTAATTTAAGGTTTTTCAATTTAAATTTTTTAACCCTTTAAAACAGTTCTCATGTCAGAATATTAAATAATATGGTCCATTTTTATTATAACCATAGATAAATAAAAATAACTGTTAAGTTGTCATACTGACTGTCACTGTCAGAGATCATCTGCAAATTAGATAATTTGAAAATATTTACATAAAAATGCAAATTTTTAACACAACTAAAAGGGGTTAAAACAAGATATATCCAAAAACTACAAAAAATAGAAAATAGTCTAGTTGTTTAAGAGGCATTTTTCTGGAATTATGAATGTGCTTTGTAGTCAACAGGCTTTCTTACCTAAATATTTCATTTATGTATTCTTTTAACAATGTTAAATTGTTAACAGGTATTGTATTAATAAGTGGAAATTCAAAAAAATACATTGGTTTCTCTAAGCATGTTTGTACCGTAAACCAAAAATGTCAAACCAGTTTTTGTTGCCGCTTTGACTTTGTGGAAAATTTGCCTCCATGTACTGACTTTAGAGGAGATTCAGTCATATTTGCCATTCGTTGTTTACTTGCTTGAAATAAGGAACCGTTTATTTATCTATCCCACAATTGAAGACCTCGGGGGAAGAAGGTGATATGCCCAAATCCTGAAATCATGTTTTCATAGGTATAAATGAATAAAAGTCAGTAACATATTCAAAAAGTCTTTTAATTCGAAAAGTAGTAACAAAACCTACATACCTAACTATGATATAATAGTTAATAGTTAATATTTGGTTATATAACGGATATCAATTTAAAAAAGTCCGTGTCTCATTTTTAGCCAAAATGTGGCTTATCACCCTTTTCCCCCGAGGTCTTCAATTGTCTAAGAGATTATACGTTCTTTGTTAGGTGCCTAATGCCTTCGAATTTATTTATTTAGGCTGAACGTGCTTTTTGAGTTAGATTCTGGCATACTTTAAGTTGACTGAATTACGTTTTATTAAATTTGTATTATTTTCAATTGGTATTGGTCATGCGATTAATTAAATAATTTCTGTAGGAGTCTCTATTTCCGCTTTTGTTTCCCACTGTGATCTTCAGGTATGCATAAACAGCGATAACGCTGGCAGTTACGGGGGATCATGTCAGTTAAGTGGTTATGCAGTCAATTTTTTGGCAGCGATCTGTTATCGACTGTTCTGATCGAGGAAACTGGCAGGTGATTTTCATTTAAGCTTGTGGTACAAATTATAAACAAAGGCAAACATTATCGGAACATTATAATTTTTAGGCACAATTGTAGAATTTCCCCCGAAAATTTTGAAATGACAAATGAACAATAGGTTTTTATGATTTTAATATGCTGCTTTTGCAAATTAAACACCTCTTAGTCATTTAATAATATTAACTTTATTTGGTTTGTAAAACTAAAAAATTCCTATATAGTATAACATATCCTACATTGGTAACACTAATGTGGCACTATTCCTACGAGAGAATGTCAGTGCTGGCAACTGCTGAAATTGGCAATTATATGGAACGGGCATCTGCAGGCTCTAAGACAAATTACAATTTTAGTAAGCTATGAATATTATAAACGTTTTTGATGAATCTTGTTTCGCAGCAAACGGATGATGATGATGTTATCACTCCCAGTGTTTATTTTAATTGCGTCAATATATAAATTTATAATGTCTTAAAAATCTATTGTAATAAGAAAAAGTAGAAAGGTTATATTAAATAATTTATAACTTTAAGTTTACATTTTATACAAAAAACCTTTATATTTATTTAATATTTTTGATTAAAAAACAAAGTCAAAATTTACAATTCTCAATAAAGAAGGAGGTATCGTAAGGTATATGATTATATAACATATTGCGGTGCCAGTCTCCATTTTTGAACTACCTGTAAAACTTTTCCAAACTTATATTATAAGGCTTCTTTAAATTTCAAACTATTTTGAATTGCGCGTATCTAATACGAAGTAAAATTTTAAATTTAAAGTCTAAAAAGTTTTTCTTTGTAGCCAAAAAAATATAAATTTAAATACAAATATTAAAATTATTATAATAATTTTAGGAAAAAAAAACGGTTTCATTCATTTTACATTCAATAAAAGTTTCATACAAATTCTTCAGAATTTCGTTGATAACAATTATTACACGCTTTATATTAGCTTTACTAACTACAGTATTGTGTTAATTAATGTGAACATTGTGAATTTTTGTATTATTTTAACTTCGAACATATTCCATAACCTATCATTCTGCATTAAGTTATTGCTAATGTCAGTCATTTAATCGATTTTTGTGACACAAGTTACACAAGGGCAAAAATGTTACCCTTCTTGACTGGCCTGGAAACTCACCGGACATTAGTCCCATTGAAAATTTGTGGGCCATATGCAAGTCCAGATTGGACAACAAAAACTAAGATGATTGAGGCTGTCATTCAGGTATGGTTTCGAGATCACAAAATCAAGTAAAAATTTCAAAAAATTGATTGATTCTATTCCGATATATTTAAAAATATTTTGGTGCTGGTGACAACACAATATAGTTTACTCAATATTGTAATTTATTCAAAATGGCCGTTGCACCCAGATGGCGATTACTTTTTCTTTACAACCCCCTTGATATAAGTATCAAATAAAAGGGTTTAACGAGTCATACGTCATAGTAATCCAATATGGCGGCTGTCCCAAGATGGCGGATTACCTTTTTCTTCACAACCTTCTTGACATAGGTATCAAATGCTTTTAAATCCTTTGGCTTGGAGAAGAAAACGATAAGGTGAGTGACATCATACTAAATCTAATATGGCGGCTGCCATGGATATTAAATGAAGGGTCTGTCGAGCAGAATAAGTAATATTATCCTAATTTCAATATGGCCTATGTTCCTAACTAAATTATAAAGTAATTATTGAAATATCCAAAAACTAATGCTGCTTAAATGTCACGTAGTCCACTCTGTATGTTTATCCTAATACTGATGATTTAGCATGTAAGCACTACGACCTATATTTTATGAAACCAACTTACTTAACCATTGAACATAGTCGGTGTAAGAACTTTAAATAAAAGTATTGATAATACTTAAAGTGTTTTAATTAAATAATCGTCCAATTACCCTAATAGGTTATGGGCTCAGAATACGTTTATTAATTATTAGTGTGGTGAAATAGTGACGTTAAAAATAAAAACTAAACTAAAACAAAACTAAATAAAATTTGTGAAAAGTGACACTAAAGTGACAATGGCGAGTGATAAAAAAATTAAACGAAATATTAAACCCTTCAATGGAGAACATTACAGCATCTGGAAATTTCGTTTGAGGGCATTAATTAGTGAAGAAGACGCTCTACTAGTTCTTGATCAAGATCCTCCAGAAACTATTACCAATGAGTGGCAAAAAGGATAGGACTGCAAAAGGTTGCATAATTGAACATCTTAGCGACTCAATGATTGGAATTGTCACTGAAGAATTAACAGCCCGAGATATTATGCAAAAACTAGATAGTATCTATGAAAGAAAAAGCTTAGCAACACAATTATCAGTGCAGAAAAAGTTACTAAGTTTTAAATTAAAGGCTGAGACATCGCTAATAAAACATTTCATTGAATTTGATGAAATGATGATAGAATTACCAGCTGCAGGAGCTAACCTTAATGAAATGGGTAAAGTTGCACATTTACTATTAACATTACCATCTTCGTACGACGGGGTCGTAACAGCAATTCAAACACTTTCCGATGACAACCTAAGCCTAGCTTTTGTTAAAACTAGACTACTTGATCACGAAATAAAAATCAAAAATGAAAGCAATGATAATAGCACAAAAGTTTTAAATGCCTACACTAAAAACACTAACAAAGGAAATAATTCCCAAAAAAATTGGACGAGCCAAGAACGAAAACCACACCTAGGATATAATCAAGAAACAAAACAATTTCGTTTTAAAACACACAACAAAAAATCTAACAAATCTTACACCGTAAAATGTGATCATTGTGGCAGGAAAAATCACACAAAAAGAGATTGTTTTTATTATAAAAAAATCGGTAATAAAAATTATAATACAAGCCGAAATGAAAAAAATTTACAAATGATACAAATCGCTGATTCACAAAATTTTGCCTTTATGATGAAATACTGAATAAGTTCTTACATTTAAAATATCCATTAATTTTTTGAGGTGGACTATTGAAATATCCAAAAACTAATGCTGCTTAAAGGTCACGTAGTCCACTCTGTATGTTTATCCTAATACTGATGATTTAGCATGTAAGCACTACGATCTATATTTTATGAAACCAACTTACTTAACCATTGAACATAGTCGTTGTAAGAACTTTAAATAAAAGTATTGATAATACTTAAAGTGTTTTAATTAAATAATCGTCCAATTACCCTAATAGTAATAAATAAATAATAGTTAAAAAAAACTAAAAACAGGCTTTAACGCACTAAAAAGTATGAAATAATATAATTAACTTGAAATATTGTGTGCTATTAAACACCCACGAAAATAAAGCAGGGTGCCAGAGTGTTTTTAAAAAATAATAAGCTTCGCAAAGATTCCAAAATATTGTAAAATTTTAATTAAACTCCCGAAATTGACGGAAAAACTGTCGTGCTGCTAGGCAGTTTACAAATTTTCAACTCGAACGAATTGGATAATTGGGAGCCTTTTTTGTTCATTTAAAGTTTCTGTAAGCCAAGATTAGGCGTATTTCTGGGTGCGTAAAGGGGAGCCAACGGTAAAATTCTACAAGTTAGGATGGGCCTCAACGACCTAATTATCATTGTCACTAGCCAAAGTTTTAGCGAAGGTATAGGTACCTTAATTAATGCGATTAAAAGAAATCTCAAAATTAATCCTCCAGTCTAAAAAATTGATTCAAAGTTTTAATACAAACTGAAGCCTTTATAAATATGAAAAACTTTCTAAAATTTATTAACGTTATTGTACTAAATAAATCAATAACAAAAAGTCAAAGTTTTGATTTTCAACCAACCAATATTATAAGAACAACAATCTTTATTAAATAAATTAAAAAAATCATACTGATCATCATACTGATTAAAATTTTTAATCAGTATGATGATCAGTATGATTTTTTTAGGAAAGCTAAAAAAATGTTTTTAAATTAAGTACACTGAGTACATTCTTACAATATAAAGAGTGTTTCTGTATCCCTAGCACGTCTGAATAAGCCATCGTGATCCAAATAGAAAAAATCAACTTTAAAGAATTGCGGTTGCGTTTAAAGAAAAATAATCATTCCTCATAAAAATATATGTTTGACTTAAAAAGGGAATATCGATAAAAATGTTTAAACCAAACATACAGGGTGTTAAAAAATTTAAAAATGCTTGAGGACAAAGTACCCTGCGTTTTCCAAAAAAAATCATTCCTCATAAAAAATCGTACAGTAACTGTTTTGAGATGGCACACTCAATGACACGTGACTGGATAAAGATCTGTGATTAGTTAGTTGGACATGTTTGTCTTTGACTGGACGAGCACGCTAGGGGCCGTTCAAGTATTACGTAAGCAGATTTACTACAATTATTAACCCCCCCCTCCCCCTTGTCAGCAAAAGTAATCAAAGCTCTTACCCCCCCCTCCAATGCTTACGTAAACATTGGTCTTTTTGTTTTCAAGCATAGACAATGTGTGGGTTGCCATATATGTAAAAAAGTAAATAACAACTGCTGACGTAATCACCATCTAGACCCCCCACCCCCCATGTCATCAAAAATAAGCACAGCAAAGACCCCCCTACCCCCCTATAGTGCTTACGTAATACTTGAACGGCCCCCTAGACATTTTTGGTTTTGATCAGAACTCTTATTTTTAGGTCTCATTTTAAATAGGAAATATTGATCTTCGACCACTTTCAAGGTGGTTATAGACGCGAATGACCCCCCACTACCGAGAGTGGCCATATTTGGTTTTGACCGGACGATCCTCGTATACATAAATTCATCAAAGGATTTTTTTTCGGTTCCAGAGGAATTTAAAAAGTGTAGTGTTTTCCTTGGATTCCTATCGACGTTTATATCAGGAGTAATTTCACTTAGGCCTTAGGATTTCACCCTCGGTAAACACTGCTTTTTTCAAGTTTAATTATTTAAATCTGACGTTTACATTAAAAGTCAACCACATTGTATCGTCTTCAATGGTAATAAATGAAATAATGACTTATTCCTTACCAGATAACAGCTGTTGCAAGGAAAGGAAAGAATATATACAGGGAGAAACATATTTTTTAAATGACCTGTCATCATTGGGGGATGGATAATCATCACTATGAGCGGTTTGTAGCAGTTATTTGTTGAGTGTATAAGTATATTGGTACTACTTTTTATCCGATTTTATTAAACTTGGACAGGATGTCAATAAAAATGTGTCATTCAAAATCAAATACCTACTAAAAGGTTTAAAACTATTGTGTAGTCAGAAACGTCACATTCCATTATCGGGTCCTGTATTTAGATGAATAAATCATTTAATAATAGTTGATACAGTGACAGTACATAAAATTAATTTTAATCGCATTAAACATATTGTTGAATCTGAAACGCCAGTTTTGATTGGGATTCGTATATTGTGAAGGCCTTCGTTGGTCGGCGAGCATTTCAATCGTTAGTTATTAATTAATATTCAGTTTCCAGGATCAAACCGTATCCTTTGACGAAGCTTCATCATAAAGCGATGTGTTTTAATAGACGTACCCTCGATTTTAAAGGCGACATGACATTTTGAACTATCCAGAGACTGCGAATTACCGTGCAGGATATCTAGGTTCAATGAAGGGGATTAATTTGATCAAAAGATTAATTCAATTTTGCCTGATTTTAAGATTATCCTCGACGTAAGTAAATTAAAGCGAATAAATATTATATTGTGTGGTGTCTCAAATGGATTTCCGTATGTAATTAAAAAAACAAAAAAACAAAATTGCGTTATTAATCTTTTTTCTGCCTGCCTAAAACAATGTGATACAATCACAGAAGAATTTAGTGGAACTATAAAAGTGGTCGAGTTTAAACTGGTCGATTTGGTAAGAAATGCTCCATTATTACTATTATTATTCATTTATCATTAATATAAAAAATAAAAATGTAATTAAAATGTTTGATTTATTACTAAAATATTTAAAACAATTTTTTTTCGGTTCATAATATGTATGGTAAAACACGTAATTTTTTATTTATTTATTTATATACCAATAAAATAATCACGATGCTTTATAGAAAAATAAAAAAAGTTCGTCAAATAAATATGGTAAATTTAGTATTAAATAGATCAAATGTTTGGCAACGCAGAGCTGTCCAAGTACTGAGTACTTTTACTTGTATTTCAGTTACAAGTAAAAAAGTACGAGTACTTTTTTACTCATAAGTATTTTTCATTTGAAATACTTATTACGCGTAATTACAAACC